ATTATTTCCATTTTTTTGTTGGGTTGAATTGCATGTTATTTTGTTTGTGTTGCTTTTTCCTTTGGTCAAGACTCCTGAACTTAGCACAAGTGATGAGAAGTCCGGTTTGCCTGTCATTTGATCAGTTAAGCCCAATTCAGGATCATCAAATTGATTGTCTCTTTGGAGGTGATAGGTTCTAAGTCTGATTTCAGGGCGGGCGGCAGACAATGAGCTTTTTGTCTTTTTGTAACCTGCTTATGTTCTGTTATTTTAATATAAGTCATCTTCTTCCAAAAATATACTATCAAAAATTTGATAGGAGAGGTGACGATTGGGCTTCAAAGGTATTGTTGGGATATATTCCCCTGGCCTACTACTGTTCTGAGACCTGAGGCATCGCCCCGATAAGGAACCCAGTCAGTGAGACCCAATTAGGCCTACCCGGCCCAACCGGCCCATTTAGGCCCATTAGAATAGCCCTAAAAAAACCCTCCCCTTCTATAAATAGGAGGCCAAGCCTCCTAATTAAAGGATCCTTTTTTGGCTCTCCTCTTCCCCATTACTTCTTCTTCCTAATTCTCTGTAGAATAGCTCAAGCAAGCTCCATTAATGGAGGTTTTGATATTTGTACTATGTAATTGAGTGATGGGAGGATATTAATGAGAAAGAGCAGGCTTGAGCGTTAGCCTAAAAAGTCCCGTAGTTTTCTCACTTTACGGGTTTCCACGTAAAATAGCTAGTTCATACACCTTTTATATTTATATTTACAATCTTATGTTGGATTAAAATCAACATTAGCGCCGTCCGTGGGAAACGCTTCAAAAAGATTTCGATGTGTTTTGATTCTACAAATTTTTTGGATGACAAAAAGCTACTCATTCCAGCAAGAAACAGAGGAGAAACAATTCTGAAAAACAAAAACAGAGATGGAATGAGTCCGGATCCAGTTCTAGCAGCTTGGTCCTTAGTTACTGCAGCTCCACGAACTCACCAGGACCTACCTATTGGATGGAAGAGCACGGAAGGGGATGCCTATGCTAAGCAACATGAAGAAAACAGACTGATGCTCAACCAAAAAACCGTCGGTGGAAGAAAAGATGAGTGGGTCCCGCGTGTTGAGTAATTGATGTAAAAATGAGTGGTTTTCTTGCTTTCACATGGGAGTCCTGACACATAATTGATGATTTGACATATCCTATCTTATCCAAAACAAACAATCTTCGGACAGGGGCGGATCTAGTATTTGCGTTGAGGGTGGACCAAATTTTAATTAAATAACGTATATTGAAACAAATGTCAAAATGAAAAAAAGTAGTTAAATAATATTACAGAAATGTCAAAGAAAAAAAATATTACAGAACGGACAATTTAATTATTTTAAAAGTCGTAGATAACCCAAACCGAAATTGGCTCGGCTACTGAAATGTTCAATACTAATTTTAAAGTCATTTTCTCGAAAACCAGTTTTCTATGGACTCTATAGTATAGTCTCTTTAAAAAAAATAAACTAATTAAATATCACTCACCAAGCACAATGAATTGAACTTATTAATTTTTCAAGTCAATATTGAAAAGTTCAATGAATTGAATTAATAAATTTTTAAGACTAATATTCAAATGTCAAAAAAATTAAACTAATCTCAAACCAATACTCTAAAGCACACAATGAATTGAACTAATTAATTTTTCAGCCCAATATTCAAAAACCCAATGAATTGACCTGATTAATATTTCATATCAATATTCAAAAGTCCAATTTATAAATTGATGAAGATCAAATGTATATAGATATGTGGAATAAAGAGATATTGGAAAGAAAGCTGAAAATTTTAAAATACTAATAAAAAATCAGTACGTGTTGCACTAAAAAAATAAGTACCTAGGTTCGAACTTCAGACCTTATGGTGCACCAAACGCTCAATTCACTTCCATCAGGCCAACGTAACAAGTGTTAAATATTTGACTTTAGCTAGTATTATACATATTAACTGAATCACTATATATAAATAAATACATAATATATATACTAGTAATTTTTATTTTTTTGAGTGTGGGCCTAGGCCCTCCCTGGCCTTAGTCGGACAGGAAGTGCCCGAACACCAAAGCTCGAAGGGAATGACTGCATCTACTGGATGTCTGGATCCCATGCCACCAGTTCACCTTCGAGAAGCCACGCACCTGAAACACAAAAAAGAGTAACCATTTCAATATGGCAGGAGCCCGAACGGGGTTCTTTCTTCCTTACCGAGCATATTCTGTGTCTGAGTGTAGCCGGAGCCAATGACGGAGCCGTGGAAGAGGGCTGGTCATACCCCAGTGGTGGCGGGTCAACATAAGTCAGAACGGTAGAGACGTAGAGTCACTGCCCCCACCGAAACAGCTCAACATAAATGAAGGAAATGATCTTGAGTCTTGACGGTTATATTCATTGCCCGAGCGGCCTGGACTTCCCTGACAATCACAGGAGTCGCAGCTCCTTGACCCAACCCGACCCCCCGTTCAACACGTTTTTCTTGGCTCACCAAAGGAGGTCCATTCCGTATCAGATTGACCCCCCAAATCGCCCACAATTTTTCGGTAGCAACTGCGCACCGAGAAGTTCCCACTATCCTCCCATCTCCAACATAAAGAATCCTTAGTTGGATTCCTTCTCAGGGGTATACCCCCAATAATGTCTGCATCTCTAGCCTCAAAAATATCCTCGGTAATATCCACATCCCATTCACTTTGATTTGTGTCAAACAAATTCGCCGCCACCGCTTCTTGTAGCCTCTCACACTTTTCTGAAACAACCATCGGGTTATCTCTGTTCGGAAGCCACGGTTCCTCCCAAATATTGATGGACTGACCGTCACCCACTCTCCAATAATAACCCTCCCGAATAATAGTCTGGGTGTGAAGTATATCTACGCCAAACAAAAGACGGGTTGCTTCCAGGTTTTGTTTTAAGAAAATCTCCCTTCGGAAAATATCTAGCTGTAAAGACTCTACCTACCAAAGAATCAGGATTTGTGAAAATTCTCCACGCCTGCTTGGATAACATGGCTAAACTAAAATCCCGAAGTCTTCTAAAGCCCATTCCGCCCTCTTTTTTTGGAACACAGAGAGCCGCCAATTCTTCCAGTGAATCCCTCTTCATGCTTTACCCTTCCACCAATAACCATTCATAGCATTTTCAATCTCATGACAAAGGTCAACAGGCAACAAAAAGACATTCATAGAATAAGTTGGCATAGCCTGAATGACAACCTTCAAGAGAACCTCCAGACCAGCCTTAGATAAGAATTTATTATTCCAGTTATTAATACGGGAGATCACTCTCTGTTTGAGATAGCTTAGAATATTTTTCTTATTGCGTCCTACCAATGCAGGCAAGCCCAAATACTTCTCATCCTCCCCAGCCAACCCCACTCCAAGTAAGTCAATAAGACCCTCCCGGTAAGTCGTCTCAATATTTGAGCTAAAAAAGACCTTCGATTTATTAAAATTAATTACCTGGCCTGAAACACTTTTGTAATCCGCCAACACTTCTTTAATCAAGGAGGCCTCATCATGGTTTGCTCTGAAAAAAAGGAAGCTATCATCTGCAAAAAATAAATGAGAGATCATTGGGGCCCCTCGAGCAATCGACACCCCATGCAATCGACCAATGGATTCATATTTACGGAGCAAAGTGCTAAGGCCTTCTACCACAATCAAGAATAGATAATGGGACAAAGGGTCCCCTGTCGTAAACCCCTCCCCGGTGTCATTAGTTCAATCACTCTGTCATCAAAAGGGATGGAGTAAGAGACGGAAGTGACGCACTCCATGATCACCCCTATCTATTTTTCATGAAAGCCCAGACTCCTCATCATGCCGTCAAGAAAAGGCCATTCAACACGGTCATAGGCCTTACTCATATCTAACTTCAGGCCCACCAAGCTCATCTTTCCCTAGCGCTTGCATTTCAAAAAATGTTGAGACTCGAAAGATAACATAATATTATCAATGATACAACGACCTGATATAAAAGCACTTTGTTGCTCAGAAATACACAAATGGAGGATATTTTTCAGACGATTTGCAACCACTTTAGAGAAATTTTTTTGTATAGTCCCAACTATTGATTATTTTTGTATAATCCCAACTATATGGATCATCCGCCAATAATGGTCCATGACCAAATATTACCTTCTATAAAAGTGAATTTTAAATAGAAATTAAGCGTAAAAATTAAAAGTTAAGATTATTTATAGAGATTACTTGTTATATCTCTTCTCATTCACTTCAGAAAGTACATGAATTTATTTACAGGGACTGTTATTGGCGGAAGGACTCTAAAGTTGGGATTATTCTAAAATAATCGATAGTTGGGATTATTATAAGCGGACCGCCAATAGTTGGGATTATTACAATCAATTTTTCCAAAATTTTATAGATAACGTTTGCACAAAGAAACCGGTCTCCACTTGCTAAGAGATTCAGGTTTTTCTTTCTTCGGAATGAGAACAATGTTAGTGCGATTAATAAGTTTACCCGTCTCAAACATAGCTTTACAAAAAGGGAAAACTGTCAAATAGGTCCTCGAACTTTCATAAAAAAGTCAATTAAGTCCTTCTATAGGAGACTTTGTCCGGTCGTCGCGATTTGGGGTGGTTCCCGATGGAATTTTTTGATGAATTTTTTTGAGCATCTTATTCATCAAGTCTAGTTTACTCATACCAAATTTCAGCTAAAAATTTAATCGGGAGCGCATTCAAATTAATTCGAGAACGCAAAAATGCGCAGTTATCTTCAAAAATTAATTTGAATGTGTTCCCAATTGAATTTTTAGCTGAAATTTGGTATGAGTAAACTAGACTTAGTGAATAAAATGCTCAAAAAATTTCATCAACAAATTCTACCGGGAACTGCCCCAAATTGCGACGGCCGGACAAAACCTCCTATAGAAGGACTTAATTAACCTTTTTATGAAAGTTCGAGGACCTATTTGATAATTTTCCCTTACAAAAATCAACTGTATCCGAACCCACCACGTCCCAGACTCCCAGAAATGCCTATAGAATCCCGGACTGAAGCCAAATTAATTTAGGATTGTCACCATTACTTTCACTTCAAGAATCAGCTTAGCTTTCAAACTTCTAACCTAACACTTTCAAACCCTCGATCGCCATGGCAGCTCCTCCCATCACAATCACGAAGGTAGTTCCGGCCGTCATAGTAGGCGGTGGACGAGTGGGAAAAGCCCTTCAAGCCATGGGAAATGGTGAAGATGCGTTGGTGAAGAGGGGCGAGCGCGTGCCCCCTGACTTTCCCGGCCCCATCTTGGTCTGTACTAGAAATGATGATCTTGAGGCTGTACTAGAAGCCACACCTAAGGCTCGCTGGAAGGGTATCATAATTTATTATTCCTCATTATCTGTATTAGTTTTTGGTTGTCAAGAATTTGCACTTTTATGTTTGGATAGCCATATATTCACACCAAGATCCCTTTTTTTTAATGTCAATACATTTGAGGAACAACTTATTGGCAAGTTTAGCTTAATACATTTTTAAGAAAGAATAATGAGAACGTAACTAATATACTTTTTTAGTGCTCTCCCAGCTTATTAGTGTTTTGATTATCGAAACCTATGATATTGCTCTTAGTACCAGAGACTTATGTAAGAGTTTTATCTTTACATTTGGCTAGTCTGGAATAGCTCAACACTTTGGCCTCTCCAGGACTAGGAGACTGCACAATACTAATAATGAGTGTGTATATAAGGCTAGAGAATTACTTAAGTACTAATACAACTAGAAAATGACTCAACTGAATATCTTCTCAAACTCGTCCATGTTATCTGATATTCCCTTCTTTAGTTTCCGCTATATTACACGTAGTAAAATTATCAGTATATATAGTTAGACTTCAACCATATGCAGTAGATTTCTCTAACCAAATAGTTTTTTAAAGAATATGTATATGATTAGATTTAAAACTCGATTGCTTAACTTTTCACAAATTAAAAAACCTTAGCCACACTGAAGTTGCGTGAAGATTATAATGCAATGTATTATGCTTTATGCATTCACAAGTCTTAAGACTTGAAATTTAAACTGATAATTAATTTGTTTACGGTGTAGAGAATTAAGGATAACAATCATCCCAAGTCTGGGTTGTCTTCTTAACTGGTTCTTCTTGGATAAGTAATAACAAGCATTAAAAAGTCTTAACAATGTAGCAGATTTGGTATTTTTCCAGAACGGAATGCTAGAGCCATGGTTCCAGAGTAAAGGCCTAGGTGATGCTGACCAAGTTTTGGCATACTTTGCGGTGGCTAAACTAGGTGAGCCCCCTATCGATGGTAAAACTGATACAAATCCCGAAGGCTTGACGGCAGCTTATGGCAAGTGGGGTTCTGCAGTTGCTTCCCGATTGCATGCTGGTGGACTTTCCTGTAAAGTATGTATAAATATATATTGATTATTGAAGGTGATTATTCTATACTATGAATTGGATAGAATTGTTAGAGTCCCACGGTGACAATTAAAGAAACAATAGTGGTTAATAAGACTGTGGGTTGAACTAGCTAATAGAATGGATTCGGTCTCTTAAAGTGGTTTGGCCCAAGTGTCTTATGGCTCAGCCAAGCGACCCTGCCAGTCCTCGATTGTATCAAGAGCACATTATATGATCTAAGCTGTAGATTGTCATTTTCATATTTCAATTTCCTTTTTCACAGAAAGAAGTCCATCTTTGTATGAGTATTCTTTTGAAGTCTCATTATGTCATGGTTTCAAAATCAGGTCATTGACAAAGAGGCATTTCAGAAGCAAATGTTAGAAAAACTTATATGGATAAGTGCATTCATGCTCGTGGGAGCTCGTCATTCGGGGACAACTGTAGGCACTGTTGAAAAGCAGTACCGTTCTGAGGTAATTTTTTCTAAATTATACTCCATAAATAGTTATTCTTCATGCATTGGTTCAATGCACTGCTTTTTGTTCAATAATTCTGTTCATTTCAATGTGAAAGTAATAAAAGCCTATAGATCCTGAAGATCATCTACCACTCTTTTGTCAAGGTTGACGTAACAAGGCTTCACTGGATATGCTTTTTATTAAAAAAGTTCTACAAAAACTACATTTGACATTAATATAAGAAAAACGCCACTCACATGCTTCCCTTAAAATGTGTATGTGAGTAAATAAAAACAATGGAAAGAAATGCGACTTTAGGGAACAGTGATCATGATTTCACAGTGAATATTATGATCATGGTGATGTTCAAGTAATTTACGTGAAGGACTTTCTTTAATGGAAATTATGGAATACATAATTTCACTATACATTGAATAGTGACTGTGTTGATGTTCACAGCAACTCCCGCCATATCAAGCGTGATTTTATCTAATTCCCGACAATTCAATAACTGCATCACCAAAGTCAATTGAAATGAGGCCTTAATGTAATTGACCAGGAATGGGATTAAAAAATCAGGTGGATCCTTTCAGGTATCCAGCCTTATTAGCGAGCTGGCAGCAGCTGCAGCTGCAGAGAAGGGAATAATCTTTGAGGAAGCTATGGAGAATAGGCTATGTGCCTACTCACGGGCAGTTGCGCACTTCCCGACGGCAGTCAAGGAGGTAGGAAATATTTAAGTCAGTCTTGGGAAATATCAGCATAACCACCTCTGATGGGCGGCTAACAACTTTGTACTTTTTTGTTGGTGTTCTTCATTTCTTCCTGCAGTTCCAATGGAGGAATGGCTGGTTCTATTCACTCTCACAGAAAGCACTTGCAGCCGGAAAGCCTGATCCATGTCCATTGCATACCGCATGGCTCAACGATATAAATGTTGTATAAAATAAAGAAAAATTGAGTTTGCTTATTTTGTATAGCTGCATTCTCCTCTTAGGTCCTAAAAATTAGTACAACAGCCGGTTTAGTAAACGTTAATTCGTGATTATGCGTTTCGGATTTTAAACCACATGATTTAGATTTTGCAATATGAGTACGATTTGCTCTGATTTATAATTATTTTAAATACATGCAAGGGACAGGATCTAAAGTTGGATAGTTTAGGTTGTATGAAATCAACATTTGATAAAAAAAAAGGGTAATGCTAAATGAGAAGATCTCATACATAGTTGTTCATGAATGGTAGGATATCATGAATAGTTGGATACTTGGATATATATACACTAGTTGATTTGTGTAAAATACGAGTTTTAGGTAGTGTTGGACTCGGGCTGGGCGGCCCGGCCTGGAACCGGCCCGGTCACTGTTTGAACCGGACCGAACCGGCGGCCCGGCCCAGGGGCAGTTCGGGTCGACCCGGCCCGGTGGGGTTCGGTTCCGGGCTTGGGCCCTCCATTTGGTGAACCGGCCCGGCCGGTTCGGGCTCGGTCCGGGCCGAATTTATTTTTTTTTTTTTGAATTTTTTTTAAGTTTTTGGGTTGGGCTGAGACGCTGAGTATTTTGGGCCATTTGAGGTGGTTTGGGGGTGAGGGGTGGGTTGGGGGTTAAATAGGAGAAGCCAAAAAAAAAAAATCGGGTGGCCCGGAACCGAACCCGGAACCGGTGGCTACCGGTTCGGGCTCGGGCCCAACAAAACAGAACCGCGAACCGGCCGGGCCCGAACCGGCCCGAGTCCACCCCTAGTTTTAGGACACGACAAGATTCTTCTAACTAGATATAAAATGCTTGAAATAGTATAAAGTACAACAAAATATGATCAAATCAAATAATGCACTTACTCAGAATCAACTTGCCAATAGTCATAATTATAGAATGAGCGTAGACAAACTTTCAGTTTCAAAAAACGAATGAATCCTATTTTAGAAAATATATTGTGTATATTCAAATTTAATGATTTTTATAGTTTGAGTAATATTTTGCTTTCTTTATTCTTAACAAGGTTTGTCTACCTTTTATTAAAGGGAAAAGGGGCAAATAAGCCATCGAACTAACCAAAAAAGTGCAAATAAGCCCTTATATCGGAGGTTCTGTCCGGCCGTCGCCATTTGGGGAGGTTTCCGATGGAATTTTTTAATGAAATTTTTTGAGCATCTTATTGATTAAGTCTAGTTTAGCCATACCAAATTTCAGCTAAAAATTTATCCGGGAAGAATGTCAAATGATTTTCTGAAATTTATTGTGTTGTTTAACTGCGTTGTTATCCTCTAAAATTCATTTGACTGTCTTCCCGATTGAATTTTTAGCTTAAATTTGGTATGACTAAACTAGACTTAATGAAGAAGATGCTCACAAAATTTCATAAAAAAATTCCACCGAGAACCTCCCCAAATGAGGACGTCCGGACAGAGTCTCCTATATAAGGGCTTATTTGCACTTTTTTGGTTAGTTTGAGGGCTTATTTGCCCCTTTTCCCTTTTTTTTTTTTTTTTTTTTTTGCCCCTTTTCCCTTTATTAAAACTCATATGTTTAGTGTAAGATCGATATTGCTATCATTTTTTCATTTTTTGGTTCACGATTTAAATAGTACGGATATTTAGTGACATTTTTTTTAAATAAACGACCTCATATCATTAATCAAGCATATTGTTTTCCAACTGCCTTACAAGAAAATGAGGAATAACATCAAAACTACATTTCTGGTCGATGATTAAAACATCTTGCCTAGCCAACGCATGAGCAACGCGATTTGCAGATCGCTTACTAAAAGAGAGCCTAAAGTTTCTATTTGTTTCCAACAAAACCCGGATATCATCTAAAAGAAGATCAACATACGATAAACCTTTTCCCCAGAACACCTTGGACTACAGAAAGGGCGTTTGATTCAAACTCAACACGATCACACCCTTTCCTGATTGCCCCAGAAATAGCTGCCCTGATTCCAACAACCTCAGTTTTGGTTGATAGAGTATATGGGCCCAGAACCCATGACCCACATACTAAGAAGACTAAACACAAACACGGCTGGCACCCACATGGTCCTCCATCGGCCAGATGGTCCTCCGTCAGCCAAAAACCCATCAACTTAAAATATGGTCCAGAAGCCCAGGAGCAGAACTTGGTCCTCCGTCGGCAAGGCCTTCCGTTGGCAAGGCCTTCCGTCGGCCAAAGAGACCAAAGCATAACTAGATCTCACGTTTAGTCAAATAAATCGTGTACACAGCCCATTAAAGGCCTTATTTTGTACCGGGCCTCCCAAGCCCAAGACTTGGGAGCCCAAACCCACATTTTCTCTATAAATAGCCCCATAGGGGTGGTTATAGAGGGTTGAGAAATATTAATTGCTCACTTTCTCTCTCTAGCTCTCACTTCTCTCTAAAATTAATACTTTATCAACAGCCTTAATGAACATACCCTGATCATTGCGAGCAACCCAACCCCATGCTCTAATTCCCCCATCTCATAGCGGTATCAATATTAATTTTGATATATCCCTGTTGCGGTTTAATTTCCGCCAAACCGTTTTTGTGCTCACCGGACCTTTTGTAGTTGCCACTTTCCTTACCTGAGCTTCCTCCCAGCTTTTCAGCATGCTGTCCGCGCACCTTTCCACCAATTGCTGTTCATGAGCTTCTCAATTTCCTTGCATAGCTACCGTGGAAGAAGAAAGACATTCATCACATACGTAGGCATTGCATGTATAACATTTTTCTAATAGCACCGCTCGGCCAGCTTGAAACAGAAACCTGTTATTCCAACTTTTAATACGACTAACAATTCTCTCCCGCAAATAACTCAAAATCATAGTTTTTATCCTCCCTATCAAAGCCGGTAAACCCAAATACATTGAAGGATTATTATCGCACACCACTCCCAAGGAATCGCAAAAACAACCCTTACAACCAGCATCTACATTTGGACTAAACATATCACTGGACTTATTAAAATTTACCGTTTGTCCCGACATCAGTGCATAGTCCTCCTAAATTCTTTTGATAGCATCACACTCCTGCCTAATAGCTCTGAAAATAGGAAACTATCATCAGTGAAAAGAAGATGGAATACACTTGGTGCTCCTTTACACACAGCGACACCATGAATATCCCCTTTCTTTTTTGCCCGTCTCAACAAAAAACTTAGCCCCTCCGCCACAAGTATAGATAGGGAGACAATGGATCTCCTTGTCACAAACTCCTAGCTGGAATAACCGGTCCAAGTAAATCCTTATCAAATTGAACAAAGTACTTGACTGTTGTAATACATTCCATCATGATGTTAATCCACCTCCCATCAAAACCCATTTGAATCATAATCCGGCATATAAAACCCCAATCCATTCGATCGTACGTCTTGCTCATGTCAAGTTTTAATGCAACAAAGCCTTCTTTGGCATACCTCTTTCGCTTGAGAAAATGTTGAGTTTCAAACGTTTGTCTTTTGGGATTAAAACAATAATAGTGACATTTAGTTCGCGAGGCAAACTACATGATTCAAAAATTTGTGAGCATAACCTAGTAATATTTGGTCCAACAATATCCCAATAAGCTTGAAAAAATGCAGAATTCATACCATCCACTCCCAGGGCCTTATCATGATGCATCCCAAACACTACCGCTTTAACTTTCTCCGGTTTAATCGGTCTGATGAGCTTACTATTCGGTTCCTAAGATGCACTAGAAAAACCATCCAAATTCTCCCGCCATGTTCCTGCCCCTATATCCGTGTATAGCTGTTCAAAATAGCTTGAAATTAACACCTCCATGCAGGATTTATTAGTAACCCAATTGCCATTCACGTCGGTAAGACCGGGGATTTTATTTATCTGACGCCTTTGCTTAACCGCATTACGAAAATATTTAGAATTTGTATCACCTCCTCGAAGCCAAAAGTCTTTAGCTCTATGTCACCAATACACATTCTCTTTTTCCAAAAGCGTTAACAATGAAGAGCAGGTGTGCATGAATTCCAAAGAACTCCTCGAATCAGTCTTCTCTCATAACCATGTAAGTTGTTTTTTCAGAGCATCAATCTGGACTCTAAATCCCCTCTTATTCCTGCAATTCCATCTCTGAAGCTCCTACCCACAAAAAGATATTTGTTCACTTATAGAAAAAGAACCTGCTGCTCGCTGTCTGTTTCCCACAATAACCCAACATTCTTCTCCACTAAGCCAATTGTTTCAAATTTAAATTACAGCCTCTTACGGATGTTATCCTGGTGTTGAAATGTAACATGCAATGCCATGTGGTCACTAGTCGGGGCTTCCACAGTCTTGGCATATGCAACAGTAAAAAAAATCCACCAATCATCATTTATACTCCCTCCATCCCCCAAATAAGTTCCTGGTTTGACTTCACACATATTAAGAAAATAAATTTGACTTTACTGTGGAGTGCATTGTTTTGCACTGTTTAAACACTGTTTGGACACTGTTTGACACTGTTTTGATGTAGATAATTTGCCAAATAAGGAAAGTATTGAAGTGTGAACTTAATTTAGGGACTGCCCAAAAAGGAAAGTGGGAACTTAATTGGGGGACGGAAGGAGTATTTACAAGGATCCTATCAAGTTTTTCCTCCACCCAAGCCTTAGTTCCCCGATCCCACGCCCACTGGTAGCCTTCAAAGGGAAAGTTTCTCAAACCACTTTCCTGTATAGCCTCACGAAAACCTCTTAACTTTCACCCTGGATGAGAGTTACACCCCCTTTTCTCCTCAGAATACACAAGGTCATTAAAATCCCCAACTACCAGCTATGGTAAAGAATAACTGATTAAGTGCCCACTAGATATTTAGGGACATTTTTTTTTGAAAATCGGCTTACATATATCTCAAACCATTTGGAAAGCAGGAAAACAGACAAAATAACTTAAGAAAACTGTCGTCCCACGAACCAGAGTCGGAGTCAATCACCTCAGTAATGTAACTTGTTGATCCAAAATTGGGCACAACTGAGCCAGTGACGGTAATCATAATCAAATCATCCCCTACCACCCAATCCAAACATATTGTTTTACAACTGGAAACATAAAAAACACACCAAAAGAAAACACAAGACATGTCTGAATAAAAAAAAACACACCAAACAAAGAAATAAAAACCAAAGATACAAACAGACACACCGCACCACCA